TGGTTTAATGACAGCATTATTTCATTCTACGGTTGTTTTTCACAAATGTACTTTGTCCACGGTTTGGGAGCCGCTCATTCTTTCATTTTGATGGTGATGGCTCTGGATCGTTTTATTGCAATTGTGGCTCCGCTGAGATACGCGTCACTTTTCACAAACAAAACTGTCTCTGTGCTCTGTGGACTGTCATGGTTCTGCCCCCTGTCATGGATGTTTGGTGTGGTTTTTGATGCTCTTGCTCTGCCTTTTTGTAATTCAAATATAATTGTGCAGTGTTACTGTGACCATTTATCAATAATAAACCTTGGATGTGAGAATGTGAGAGGATCTACTCTTCTTGGAATAGGTCTTGCCATGTTTAGTTTGTTGGTGCCTCTTAGTTTTATCATCTTATCATATTTCATCATCATTATTGCTGTTTTGAAGATTTCCTCCTCTGAGGGCCGCATAAGGACCATGTCCACCTGCACACCACAGCTTCTTATCACAGGTCTTTTTTATTTGCCGAGATGCTTTGTGTACCTGGCAAATTTTGTGGGCTTCACTTTCAGTTCTCCCATCCGAATTGTTGTCATAATGATTTACAGTCTTTTGCCTGCCGCTGTGAATCCAATAATATACTGCTTTAAAACCAAGGATATCAAGGAAAACTTGAAAAGGAAATTATTTTCCAGCAAAATTAAGAGCATCCTAAAACCTGGCTAATTCAACATATGTCACCACATGTCAAAGGTCTATTGCAATGTAACCGTAAATTTGTGATAAAATGATTATGATTTATTCTTAACATGAACCCCTGCATATTTTTTTGTGTCTTAATGTTTTTAATTTCTGTGTATGCTCAGTGTCTTTGTACCAGTGTACTTTGTATCTCTGTGCACAAATTAAACACCTTCCTTATATCAATTTTGTAAGTTTCTTATGTCGAAAATATACACAGCATTTCAAGTAAATATGACGTAAACATGGGCAGATTGTAAAAGACTATTACTTGCAGAACAATTCAGATTCTACATATGTTAACATACATTTATTGGTCAATTATGTTTTTGTCCAGCCATACATATTACGTGGTCAAATCCACTAAAGGATAAAATGCATAATTTCAGTCCATTGTTGAACTATTTTGCACCCCAGTCTGTATTGGTTGTGTAGATGAAGTAAAGTGTGACTTTCACAATTTCATCAGCTTGTCTCCACTGTCCATGTTGCAAATGTTCAAAATACACTCTGAAATGAAGAAAAGTATTAAGAAATATACTTAGACCAATTTATGATCTTCGTCTTATACATATACATATACAAATACATTTTTCTCTGCTTTATTTAGTGTAATGCATTTTTCTTTAAAGTGACCCAAATCCAGTAAACTGAGACTTAATGTCACATGAAAAACAAATGATCCAAACTTAATTTTTTGTAATATGAAATAGTTAAGACTTTTTAGATTTTCGTATTCTGAATAAAGAAGTATTTAATCTAAAGTCTGATTTCTGAGTTATTTTCCTATACTTGAAGTTTAAGGTTCATATCACTGCTTTATTATGTTGACACTGACGAGTTTTTTTCAAAATATCCATTCATTGCAGTCTTGCCTGAGCATGCAGGCCTCAAAATTAGACGGCAACTTGCAATATGCAGTAAGAGTGTTGTACCTCAAAGAGGTCACCAAGTTCCTGGCCCTCGTCTGCATCCTGCAAGAGGAGAGCTTTGAAAGCAAAGGATTAATAAACTACAACTTCCATTTTTTCTACCACATGTCTACCAGAGTTGGACAAGAGCGCCTCATTCCCCCTGACCCACCACACCAGGAGGTTCCACATGGGTTGTCATGAAACAATCACATTATGAATTAATAAAAACCTCTTGAGGCTGAGCTCACCTCATCAGATTTGTGGAGTTCTCTGGAAAATGAATTATAAAAAGAATACGACGACCAGTGATACTGTATATCAAATAAGAGAGTGTACAATACATAGAAAAAAAAAGAAAATCTACAACTAAATAGTAAGCAGGAAAGAACTATCCATAAAGTCCAGATCTCATGCCGACATATTTTCTAAACTCCTTGAGCAACTTCTCACCTAATGAGTATGATCATTCAGATTATTTCTCTAATTACGCAAACTTTTTCTCAGCTATGGGTTGACTGATTGGTGATTGCCTTCGAATGTGTGGTAAAATGTGTCTAATAAATCAAAAGTCCCTTCTACATTGCACAAAGTCGCCCACATGACAGAATCTGAGTGCTCATCGTGTGTAATGATGTAAGTTGTGAGACACTTGTTAGTGCACGTGGGAGTTGGCTCCTAAAGGTTTTCACCTGCACAAATGGTGACTCCAGAGATTCTGAAACCAGGCTCTGGTGGAAAGTTTTCCGTATAAAGATTCACAGACAGCTTTCTCTTCATAGGGAAGATGCAGAGATCTGAGTCTTATAGAGGTGGGAATTGCACATAACTGACAATGTGCATTGCTAACTCATAATTGTAGCTATTGTGGTGATCATTTTGATATCTACTGTCATATTCAGATACTGTTTATTCTGTCACTTTTTTCCAATGCCCCCTCCAGGATTGTTATTTTCATTTTCAGCCAATTAACGATTTTTTCCTTCTACAGCAGGTCATGAAATACACTAATATTACAACTATAAAAGACTTCATAATCACTGGATTCCCTGGACTTCCACCTGAATATTTTGGGCTTGTGTCGGGTGTTCTCCTCCTTGTTTATCTCGTGATTGTGTTTGGAAATGCTTTTATTATAGGTGTGATTATATACGAGAGGGTCCTCCACAAACCAATGTACTTGATTTTCTGTCACCTCGCGATGACAGACATCTTCTTTGGCACCGTGACGCTCCCAAAAATCATTGCCAGATATTGGTGGAACGACATGATAACCTCATTCGGGGTCTGCTTTGCACAAATGTATTTTGTCCATGCTTTGGGAGCTACTCATTCTTTAATTTTATTTATGATGGCACTGGATCGCTTTATTGCCATATGGGTTCCGTTACGATATCAAGGTTTATTCACAAACAAAACAGCAACTATTTGCTGTATTTTGTGCTGGGTTTTTACATTCATCCGTCTGATGGGGATCGTGCTTCACGCCTTAACTTTGCCTTTCTGTGACCTAAATGTCATCCTGCAGTGTTATTGTGATCACATATCTATAACCAGACTGGCCTGTGGGGATGGTGTTGCGTATGTGAAAAGTGTGGCGTTGGGAAACGCCATGATCACCCTCATGGTTCCTCTGACATTCATCATTTTTTCATATTTTTCAATAATCATAGCTGTTCTGAGAATGCCTCAGACAGAGAGTCGTTACAAAGTTCTGTCAACATGTGCTCCTCAGATCTTTATTACCTGCCTTTACTATGTGCCGAGATGTTTTGTGTATCTGACAAATCATTTAGGCTTCAAATACAGTCTGGATGCCAGCATAATTATAACAATGATGTACAGTCTCATACCTGCTGCTGCTAATCCGGTGATTTATTCTCTCAAGACAAGAGACATTAAAAATGCTTTGATAAAGAGATATAAGAATAGGAAAATAAGCTTTCAAATCAAAAGGTAATACAGGAAATTAAATATGAGGTCGTGTTTATAACCACTTGAAAAAGTCTGATGCTACAATATGGAATTTATCTTAAGTGTTTTTCTGATTATTGTTAAATGATTCATATTCAGCCAAATAGTTTGGTTTATTGCATGTTTTAAAGGTAGTATTTTCAAGGCATTTTTGTAGATAATCTTAATGTCTGTAACTTTGAAAATGTATCTTCTTGAGACCCGAGCTTTTATTTGGTGTGCATTTTGCCTGCTCCAAAATATGTGGGATTATTAGGACCTAATGAGTTAAATAACTAGATTTTTTAATGGTGCAGGTGGGGGTTTTTTTTCAAATCACTTACAAAAGATTAATTACACAACAGGAACATGATTAGATGAAAAAGTATCAAATCATTTTATAGTCTGATACCGGCTACTATGAGGAAAAGAGGTCAAAGGTGGAAAAAAATATAATGGTAAAGAAAGGCAAGAATACAATGTCCTCTTATGAGGATGCAGGGTCTCGGGAGGATAACGCAGTTTTGTTCTATACATGTAATGTTCAAATAAACCTCTCAGACTAAGATCAACTGTGTACACGTCATTTCGCTGATACTGAAATTATTGATCAATCATCTGCTGTTAATGCAATTTTTGTACCCACAATGAAACTGAACTGTTTCACCGTTTGTTTCACAAGACACAATGAATACAACTCTGCTGTTAGCAGCTCTTTTGTCCACAAGATGGAGATAAACCAGATGAATCTGTTGTTGATCTTATTAACGTACAATTCCTAAAGAAAATTATAGTGATTATATGAATTACATAAAAAAGTGAAGTCATATCCTTTGTAAAATGTGGATGAAAAACTCAGTGAAGTGATT